AGTTCACATATTTGGGGCTACTATCTCCTGAGCCCTATTATTAACATAGAACCCATAAGACTACAAGCTTGGAGAGTTCTAGATATTGACAGAGTAGATACGGAGACCCTTGGACATTGTACATAACCTCAGTGCACATGTACAACACAAAGGTAAAGGGAGAGAACTCAGAGGACTGGTATCAATCACTGCTTGAGGGAGGATTCACTGTACAATCTGAATTTACTCTGCTGTACACTTAATATGTACTTATAATGCTTTCTTTTGTCTCCAACTATGTTTTTTGTTTTGAAAGATAGCAGGTTCCAGGGCTGATACTTGTCATTTAGGATAAATTCTAGGTTTAATTGATTGCTTCCAATTATTAAAAATTCCTCTGTTCTTTGTAAAGGCCTTATTATGTAAACAACAGTAGCTGACATTTGTGTCTCTTGTTCACGGATCGATGCTGACAGAAGACCTTTGAGTATATATTGTTGCTCCCTCTCCGTCCTGATAAAGTAAAAGAATGGACTAGAGAAGTGGTAGATAATGTATAATATGTTAGCTTATGATTGTCTGTGATTGGCTCTGTACAGATTCTCCTTCTCATGGTAGTGATCATCTTCAGTGCTCATCTTCACCATTTTCTAAAACCTGTTTTGCTTTGAACAATCTCTGACCCCAAGAGTGTGGACAGAAGATGGTCTTAGTCACTATAAGAACAGATAACCAACAGCTATCCTTCTTGCCTGTGTAAACATTACTGGTGAGCTATATTGCTAGTCTGTAGCTCTTTTTCATGCACCCTATTCTATACATAAGACCCAGAAACAAGTTGAAGTTAGAAGCACTTTCAGTCACTTAAACTTTGATTTGGCAATTCTGCTAAACCATCAGACCAAACCCACTCCTAAGATTCTTTAGATTAGACACCATTTTTATTACACTAAAAATGAGCTTTTATTGCATGCATGATGATTTTACAAGAACATTTTAAGCACATTTGTCTCTGTTCAAATGGCAGTCCTTGGAATGGCTAGCCTATTTGCTATTCATAGGAATATATCTGGAAGGGAAATGCTAGCTTCTACTTTTTACACTGAACCTCCTTTCTTGTTTTGTTGTCCTAATCACTAGAAAAGTAGGAAAACCCTTCTTACCATTAATATGGAGCTCCTTATAATAATAGTATATAATATCATTTTAATACTGAAAATACCTTAGATTTCCTGGCTCACTACATACTGTGTTATTTTTCTAAATTCCTGTCACTTTTTTAAAACCATGGTTATGGTGGCAATGCTGAGTACTTTGCTAAATCATGTTTTTAATGGAATGAGAGATAATTGTGATTGTACACATAATATTACAGTAACATTTATGATGTCGCTATAGTGTCTGTCACTCAACAACTTTGTCTACCATGAACTGTGAATTTTTCTTTTTTATTTTCATGTGCTGTATGACACCCTATAAATAACTTCCTCAGTTTCTCAGAACCATGAAACACCTTACATTTGACAAGGGAATTTGTCTTAATTCATATTTTTAAATTACTTCACAATATGTAACTTAATAGATATCCCAAATGTGCTTATCTCCTCATTCTACCAGCAGTGCTTTTTTTCTTCATATTAACTTTGATAGTTAACTTTTAAATTGTTCATTTGCCCATTTGGGCAACATACTAACTATCTTGGTTCTTTGAGATGTACATAACTTGGTATTTGACCCCTAGGGCTACAAATATGACCAGGCATCTTTGTTTATTTTATAGTCTGCATTCTGGACAAGAAAAGGAAACAAGGCAGGGATACTAAAACCTGTCTTAAAAATCTTTTGAAGATTCTCTAGTTATGTATTTGTGTGAGTGTCTGTGTGAGGATTTTGTGCACATAACATGATGTCATCCAACATGGTTTCTGGAACTCTAACTCATGGTGAGGGAACATACTTGTGTCTTCTTCAAGAGCATTTCAAACATTAAAGAAATGTCTCTCCAGCTTGCAGAAATGTTTCCTGTGAGACAATACTTTAGCTGGAATAAGAATGAGAAATAGGTTTCCCATCTAATGGAAAAGAGTCATGACAGAATTACAAAGGTATGGAGTAAGCATGCAAGAGGCTTTGATGTGTAAGGAAATGTGTAATGTGATTGATTCTAGAAAATAGTAAGTTATTTACAGAGGGCAAGAATTATGTATCAAATTAGGGAAAATGTGAAACAATTTTGTTTGTATTTTCAGTTCAAGGAGAAACCATTGAAGGATTCAAACAGTGATGCAAAGTCAAATAATTAAATTTTTAAAAAGTTTAATTCTGATTTCTTAGAACAATATAAATTTTCAGAGACTAATCATTGATGACCCAACTGTATAACCAGAGAATTAAACTTGGCCAGGGATGATGACATTGAGAACAGAAATATGTTGTCATAATTTGAATCACATTCCCCCAACACCATAATTTGAAGGGCAGAATCCCCAGATGACTGTACCTGTAGAATGAATCTTTAAGCAGTTGACAATTAGTTCAAAAGGTGGGGTTTAAATCCAAAAAAACTGGTGAGGTTATAAACAGAGGGAATGACAGAAGTTTTCTCTGTATGAATCTTTAGACAGCAAGTAGGTGGTAATTTATGATTCAGAAAGAATGCTTTCATCAGAAAAGATAAAGAGAAATCAGATATGAAAATGAGTTGATTATACCTTATATCTCATTTAATTTGACCAGTCATATGGGAGACTTGTCGAACTATTTACTAACAGTTTTTAAATACCTGGGATAAAATAAGATCACACTGGTAGAGGAGGGCTGAGTCAAAAATTCAAATATGGACTAGCATATTTGGTTATCTCTGAAGCAAACAAAAAAAAGTGTTCATTAAATGTTTTTCTATATCCATGTCTCATTGGGAAAGTCTAGGTTGAGATATGGGTTGAAGTTGTCAGCATTTAGATCACATATATGAGATAAACTTTGAGCCTTTGAAGACAAATGAAAATCAACATTTAAATGGTAGTTTAAGAAAAGGGAAATTTGTGAAGTAGCACACAGGAAAGGCAATTCCAAAAATAGAGTCTACTATATAACTCTTCTAAACAAATATTTGTGGCTTCCATCATCCATATTTCAAGGAAGATACATAAATGAGTATCATTTCCAATGAGTACAAAAACAAATGACAAAATGTGTGACATATGTATAAAATATAGTTTTTGCCATTTTACATGAACTATTCTGGATGTGAATATAAATCAATTTAAGATTTCTTCATGTTTTATAGATTTTTCATTGGCTTTGTATATTTAAGATGCCCACTCTTAAGTCACAGTGTATAATTTCTAGGGTGAAGTCATGACATCAAGAGAAAACAAGGGGTTATTAAATCAGGTCTATTTTAAGGTATAAGGGATGTGCCTAGACTTATCTATAAACCTTGATGTACCATTTTTGGAAGAAATATCAACTAACTTCATTTAAACAAATGAAGACTGGAAAGATTTGTGCAATTGCAAGGTGGTTTATAGGTTTCATGCTCCAAGGATGGAGAAATCATGACCCTGTGAAATACTTTAGGAAAATATGCTCTTTTATTAAGAGGGATAAAGAAGTCCACTATTCTGCCTTCCACTTAAATTTTTCATTTTTCATCTCTTACCACTAGTATAATCCTTCTCAGGCAATCTCGTATACAAATGTTGATGGGGGCAGTTAGTTCCTGCCATAGTGAACCAAGATCTGTGACTGTGCAAGTCCATTATATAAATTTCACAATACTTACATGTGACATTTTTATACTTTTCTCGATATTTCAAAACAACTGAGAATTGAATATTTTAATGCAATGCTAACAAATGATGCTATGCAATGGTTATTATTTTGTATTTCTTTTGCTATATTATTAATTTTGTGTGTACATTTATGGTACACATACTTGTGGATGACAGAGGCATCTTAATAGTATCAGCTCTCTCCTTCCACCACAAAGATTCTGAGTGTTGAATTCAGGTTATTAGGCTACAGAGAGAATGGCTATTCTCCATGAACTATCTTACAGGGCCTATTGGTTATTTTTGACAACAGAAAATGATGTGAATATTTAATAAAAATAACATTTCCAAGTATTTTTGATCCATGATTGATTGAATACACACATGCAGAACTTATTGACATGGGGGCCACTATATACACCAATATCAAGGCCCAAGATACTAGTAAAGACTTTGATCATACAATAAAATTTTATTGAAATAAATATTTGTGAAAACTTTATGGAATACCTGCCTACAACTACAAAGTAGATTTGAAAATATCAAGAAACCCAAGGTATGTTTCCCAATACTTCCTGGTTTCAAAGAATCTTTCCTTAAAATATTTTTCTTGGATAGATAATTACTCATAACACCCTTAGTTCCTTATTAAAATACTGTTTACAGTGTAAAAGTAAAATAACATTCAGTCTTTCCAAAGGATGTCCTAGAAAAACAACTTTGAAGGATATGTACATTGTTAGTAGAAGTAAAAGCAACCGAGGATGTTATGAAGAATAATGATATCCAACTGTGTAAGATTTAGGAAAAAACTGATGGCTGGGACTGGATACGCATTTATAATCCCAAATGGAGGGAAGATATATGATAGATATTTCTTCTAATTAAATTAGATTTTGACATTGCACATTTCTATCAATTTACCATGAAATTCACACATATCAGAATCTGAATAATAAATGATCTACTAAATAATAACTGGGTAACTACTGGACACTGTAACTTGTGTTACCATATAAAACGACATGAAGAGAGTTGCATCTTAGCTCCAAGATCCCAGTGCTACAAGCATTTAAAGAGATAATGTTCATTTCAAAATGTAAATATGCTAGTTCAAATTTCTGTGTCTATGTAATACTTTGAAATGTGTAACATCTGTAACGTATGGCCTAGGCTTTCATCATGCTCTGAATTCTCATTGTATAATTCTCATTGGCCCTTACACAGGATTGTTCTTCTCCTTAGATCTGGCAATGTGGAGGCTCCCTGGAGATTGTGACTTGCTCTCATGTAGGTCATGTTTTTCGAAAGGCAACTCCTTATACGTTTCCTGGTGGCACTGGCCATGTCATTAATAAGAACAACAGAAGACTGGCAGAAGTTTGGATGGATGAATTTAAAGATTTCTTCTATATCATATCTCCAGGTATGCAGTGCTGACACTTTCCTTCCTCTAAAAGGAAATTAAATACTTAAACGAGCTAAGTGGCTGATTTGTTGCTCTTATTACCCTAAGAGCTAAAATAAAAAATAATTACATGAGACAGTTTGCTGAGAAAGTAATTTTAATATAAAATTAGGGAAAAAATACTAAACAGACATTTTAAAAGTCTCTCTCATCTATTTTTTTATTCTCTGTCCAAGCAAAGAATGAAGTCCTTATAGATATTCAAATTTATTTTGATACACACAAGGAAAATTTTAAATTGCACTTAAAGAGAATATTTTAGTAAATGGTCAATAAATTTAAGTAAAGAAGTATTGAAACAGTACTAATGATAGATGGCTTCCTACTTTAGGTGCACAGACCAAGTTGTATATAACTAAAAGTAATGGAGACGGCAGCTGGGTGGTGGTAATGGTTATTATCTTTCTAAAGTTTCTCATCATTCAAATATTACTTATATGAAAGAATGATTTTCATAATAAGGAAATGTGTAATAATTCCATTCCAGGAATGGTAGGATATTGTGGGATTTTTAATGGTTTCATTTTAATTTTCTATGATTTTCTTATATTTTTGGTTGTGAGCCTAGCCTTTAATGGCTGAGCCATCTCTCCAGCCCTAATTTTCTATGATTTTCTAACAGTTATATTACTTATTTCTAGGAAAAGACTGAATATTGATACACTAAAATGAGAATGATATAAAAGAAAATTGAAGCACAAAGTCCAGAAGTACAAGACTAACTAGATTTATAATTAATTAATCAATTAAGTAATTAACTAACTAATTAATGCTACAAGTTAAATATAATGGTTGCCTTTATGATGTCAAACTATAGACTTGAATACCAAAACAAAATTAAAAGTACTTTGGCTATAATAGCAAAACAATTTTAGTGTTCTTTCTTTGATTTTTCTACATGACTTCCAAGTACTCAGGCACCTTCTTTTGTAACCCTTAAGAACAAATGGAATTTTCACTTCACATGCTTTTCTGTAAAATAATACTTTACATAGCTTAAAAGGGCACTTTGCATTCTAAATCGAATGCACTGGTTTCTGAAACTGTATATAATGCCAGTAACTTACTTTATAATAAACAACTCTGAAGAATATAAAAGCCAGTATGTTTGTTTTAATGATCTAGAATTAAGTATCAGAAAGAAAAATGGATGCATTGCATATGTGAATGTGTGATTAGAAGTACCTTTTCAAACTTTTTTCAAGCCCCTTGTGTGAAGTCAAAATACTATTTCAAGGAACACTACTTCATGATGCTAGAAGTATTTCCTTTTATAGTAGAAATTCTGTCCAGATGTTCGCAGTTTGGCAGAACATGTAAAATATTCAGGAAAGCAGTGACATTTATATAACCTTTCCAAATTATTTTGTTGGTATTTTTGAATGAAAATCATTATTTATAGAGACATTTGAGTTACAATATAAATAAAGAACTAATGATAGAAAGAAATATATTATGAGGAATAACATGAAAGTTGTATTAACAATGTGAGTGATTAGGGAACATTGGAAACACCTACCATGATTAATCTTCAATGGAAATAATGGGTGAAAAGTAATGCTGTGGTAGGCTAAGAGACCTTTTCTTTCCATTCCCTGAAGGTTGACTGAAAGGAACTGACATGAAGAAAAGGCATACAAATTCATTAATTTTCAAAGGGTTGAAAGTTACAGGGCATAATCACAGGATCCTTAGCCTTCTGGAATCTCATATGATTTGAAAACTTCCATACCCCTTTCCATAGGAAAGTGGGGGTTGTAGACTGAAGATAGTAAATGACTTTTCAATGAGATCAATGGATTGGAACAACAAACAACATATATAATGTCTGTTTGCCACAAGCACACACACGTTCATGCACACTCATACATACACAGTGTTGTTAATGTCTGTGGATGGAAATAGATTCCCTATGTTCTATGACAAAACTAAAAGTTTGTTACTCTTGCCATCATGAATGCTGCTTTTTTAGTTAGTCAAAAGCTAGGCAAGTCCTTACTTTTTTGGCATGTGGTAAAGTTTGAACTCCTATAAATAGAGAAACTTCAGACATAATTTATCCCTGTTCCAGTGAAGGAAAAGATGCTTGGGATACAAGTTTTAAGTTCATTTTAAGACATTCTAATTTCCTCCACTTCAAATTGTTTAGAATTAAAAAGGCATGGATCTTAAAGACTCAGTATTATACACTTTACATAATTTTTAATTTATTAAAAAAATGTAGATGAATGACAACTATTTTTCAAATTGCACAGAAATGGTCAGTTACAGGTTCACTTGACACAGTCTCTATCTGAACTAAGGACTTTGGAATCTAGGGCAGAGCTGCTTGTATAACCAGGAATTTGCCCATTTTCCATCTAATTCAAAAACACTTGGAATATTCTTATTCATATTATACAGACTTGTACCTTTTCAAGTGAAAAAAAGAAGAGATACCAGGAGTTGATTTAAATTACTTAAGATTTTCCTAAGGGCCAATGTATGTTGACACCCTAGTAAGGAAATCTGTAAATAGAGTTCTTAATTGGTCTAAATAATAAAAACGTGGAGTTTGATATTGAGGAAAATGCTGAGAGATCAGCGAGAGTGAGCAGGCCTAGTCACACCTTACCTCCTTATCTTCTCAGCAGACAAGAGAGTGAGTTTCTGTTTCTGCCAGACTTTATCTTATCTCTGCCCAGTCATCTCTTTCCTCTCTGTCTGTACAGATCTGCAGACCTCTGTGGTTAAGTAGTGGCAAGCTCTATTCTCTTACCTTCAGACAGACTTTATTTGCACAAGCCAAGTTTTCACCACAGAAATCAGGAGATCTGCCTGCAAAAGTAGAAACTAAAGATATGAAATTATAACTTTTCAATAGAAAAAAGGAGACTTTAAGTAGGTCAGAAGCTTTATCTAGATGACTCTAAACAAAGATAATCTTTATCAAGATATATATATATATATATCACTCAATCATTATAGTAAAAATATTCAGGGAGCTAAGAGTTTGCCATTTTATAATAAGTATCTTATTAATTATTTAAGTATACTATAAACTCTGATGGATTGCAATTTAAAAGTCAAAATCACAAAAGTATTCATTCTTTTCTGAGTAAAGAGTTTCTGTCTTTGTGTGTCCTTTGTCGATAGTGAATTTGTAAAAGGGAAATGCAGGGTTTTACATGCATGAATAAAATATATCATTGACTGTAATGAACACAGACATATGTTTGTGTGCATTGGTTGATGAAGGGAGACACAGCACTGTGGGAAGCATCATCAAGGCGTGGGGTCTTGTATAAGAGAGGAGAAAGCAAGCAAACAGACCTGAATGCTCTTGAAACTGAATGTGGCATGACTAGTTGCTCTGAGCTTCTACCACTGCAACTTCTCTCCTGTGATGAACTATAACCTAGATGTACATATTTTCTGAACATGGTATCACAGCAGTGAAAATGAAATGAATGTAGACACCATGGACAGCACATCATTACTACCTACCATTAGCAGTTACAGTGCAGTGTTAGCTTTAATTGCTTACCTATGTCTAAAGTATTTATGGGATTGATATTTCTAGCATATAGCAAATTTTCTATTACTTCGTGGAACACAAAAATATTCATTTGGAAATTTGTAGAATTGACAAACAAAACATCCATTTAGATGTGAGCCACCTTTTGTTGTTGTTGTTTTGTTTTGTTTTCTGTTGAATTATCTGTCTGGCTTACACCAAGGAATCACATCCTAAGCTCTGTCCCTCCTTTATTGTCCAGAACGCGGCTAAGCACCCACAGATGAAATAAAAGGTGAGGGCACTCTTCATATGCCTGGAAAGAAAGGCCCATGGCTTTATGTGTGGCCCTTATAACATTTACATAATTATAGGAGTACACTATAATGCAACCCTCCTCACTATGTCTTACTTCATGGTTAGAAAGACACAAAACAGCATAATATAAATTTCCTAAATGTATAAAAGAAAGGTAGTTTTACACCTGTCAATTTCTATTTTTTTCTGAGTTCTTATTTGTTTAATGTTCTACAGGAATCTGTGAAGAGCTACACATGCAAAATGTTTTATCTAATTATTGATTATTTTATGTCCTGATTATATTGGTCCTCAACAATTCACCATTAATTCACTATTTGGCTACTTTGAAAGCATGGATTTCTAATTCCATCTATACATGGAATGTAAATGAGTAGCAAGGCCACTTGACAGCACTGTTAAGAATAGATTTCTAGTATTTGTTTAGTTTGCTTTCTGGCTGTCTTCTTAAGGATGCCAATACTCTGTCTAGTATCATGAATTTTAAAGCCCATACGCCCTTAAGGCCTGAGGCAGTTTTTACTATAATTGGGCTGTTTCAGATAGAGCCAATCTGATTGCCCCAGCAAATCTTTTAAAATGAAGTGATGTAAACAGAAATCACTCTTCACAGAATATGCCTTGTAAATGCAGGTGTTCCTTTTTCCTCCTGTTGGTCTCAGTCAAAGATTTTAGGAACTTGAAAATTGAGTGTACTCATAAAACCAAGAATTTGAAACAGTCCTTATTCTATTAACATTGATTTTCTTTCTTTGGGGAGGTGGATTTCTAGCCAAATACCAGCAGGCTAGGGACAGCTCTCTGCATGTTACCGCAGGGTTCTCCTTTTCTCAGTGGACAGTTTGTGATCTTGCTTTGAACAGAAACAAAGCAGGAAATTAAATAGAAAGAATCTAGAAACATACCTCTGAAGAATTTTATGTTTAGGAAACAACATATCTTCTTCAGCAATGGTGCAATAAACTCATTTGTATTCCAGGTAAGACAAGCTCCAAATCCTGGAAAATCTCTTTGAAAGTTAACACACACACACATACACACACACACACACACACACACACACACAGATGTGGATGGAGGGAGCAATTAACTTACCATCTTAAGAAAGGCAACCTGCTTGAACAGTATCACCAGACCAATGCTG